CACGATATCCGAGTCATGAAACACTGCGATACTGGACGGCTTCAGGTCCCGAGCCGACGCCACACATGGAGATGAACCCAACCAATGGATCAGCCTGATCAGTGTATTTATAGATGGTGGCTAAGACCCGGCAGTACTTTCAATTCTGAAGAATATTTTCTTGGAGACAGACCTGACTCCTATTTTAAAATGTAGTATTTACAACAATGACTAGAAAACTTCGGACCCTGGTCTGAAACATGCCTCCTTTCTACTTACAGGTTTTATTTGGCATTATTTGCTAGAAACCGTCGTTTCTTCTCATCAGCTTCAGAAAACACACACACGGTGCTAAAACAGCCAAAGAGGTCCGTCCACACAGAGAAAGCCTTCATCAGTTGTCTTCAGCAGGACATTCATGGCGTCTCAGTACAAACACGTCAGCCAACATCAGACATGAAGCCACGCGACACCAGCGATGTGAGTTCCGTGTGTTCTCAACCACGTGCAGTCACGTAGACGTCCGATGACACGCGACAGCTTTGGCAACACTTCTCTTAAGGCGTACAGCTTTAAGGTGGAACATCCAAACTGCTATTTCTCATTAAAGTTTACAGTTTTGTTAGAAATTAATGTTTGTCCATCTTGGCAGTCTGTCAGGGGCTTTGAAAAGCAGGTGGACAAAACAGGTTGTACAGATTAAAACAATTTGTCTGAATTCATAAACTGATGGAGAGAAAATTCATCTGCAACAACTTCATTAGAGATCTACTGTTTGAATCTTTAATTATCCCAGCCTCTTAAATATTAATATTTGCTGGTTTTCTTTCAAAAATGTACAATTTACAAATTAATGATCAATTTAACTGATATTTAAATTGCTACTAGCTGCAGCTTTATTGTAATTCAGCATCCCTATCTAGAGCAAGGCCAAATACAACAGAAACCATCAACAAATATGGAAATTGCTTCCAAAAAACGTAACATTTTGACTAGATGAAGTCTTTACAGTCTATATTTTCGTAGCATAACTTTGCCTCCTCCTGATAAACTTGTAATAGATTTAAAATTACGACAGACTGTGCCTTAACAGGGACTATTTCTTTGAAGTATTTGATTAATGAAGGCTTCTCCACATCGTTGTTGGCGTCCTCCATCGCGTTTTTTTTGTTCATTAATTGTAACGTGACAGGAAGCAGTAAACCCAAATTTCAGGGCTGAAACCACAACTAAACAATATATTTAAATCTTATTCTTCGCACTTTCAGTGTGGTAAATAATAAAAAAAAAGAGTTTGCCAATTGCTCATCTGAAGCGTATAACAGTAAAATCCACCGTTATGCAGATGATACTTTGTTCTATCTGGACGCTTCAGGTTCCTCAGCTGCCTCAATGCTGCACAAATGTTTTACTGAAAATATGTTGGATTTCTCTTTTTTTTTTCTATCCACCAGATTACAGACAAGAAATAAGAATTAATTCAGATGTGTGTTTAGTCCAGACCTCTAACTTCTCCAAGGCACGGTGAGGTCTGGTTCCTGGTCAGGGTTTAATAAAAATGCTGGTCTGGTTTAGCGTTGTGTAATAAAAAAAGATTAAGGTTTGACATTGTTGTCATCGTTTTCCTTTTTAAAAGTGGGAATAGCAGAAAATTAATTACGCAGAAATGAAGTGTGTATTGTGTATTCCTTAAGTGTCACCAGGATTTTTTTGTCTTGTGGTGACAATTGAACATGACATGAAAAATAACAAAACACAGCACACTGCAGAAATCAAGAAGCCTTTTCCTTTTTTCTTGTCACCTCTTGACAAAATGTACGTTACAAGAAAACAACACGTTAACAGCCATTTACCAACAGCGGTGACAAAACGGCCAACACTGAGGACGTCATGCAGCTGCTGCAGCACGCGAGCTGCACCGACTCATCCAGCATCACCGACCTGCAGCCACCAGAACCCGCTGCTTTGACTGGTGTCTGAACATCGAACATCACTGCAGCAGCTTCCATCAAACCCAGTGAGATACCAGCACCACAGCAGCACGTCGCTGATCTTATCTTATGTATCTGATACGTTAACCACGAAACAAGTCTTTCTACCGGCTACACCTGCAGCACATTGACAGCATATCACAAGACAGCAAGTTTCTATTTTGGAATTATCTGAGTTTCCGGACCTCTCTGTTCTTTCAAATTAAACTCAGTCGGCATCGCTGCGCCTGGAGCTGCCAGCTGATGGTGGCTAACCGGCTTTATTCCTCACAGATAAAAACGTAAAAACTAAACTGTTTTGTTTCTTATATTCTGATTTTTTAAAAGACCTGTTTGCTGATGTGACTGCGACTCAATGCAAACGCACCACTGATGCCCTGAGTGTAGCACGGTCAACACGCCACGGTACCTTCAGCTGTAGCTGATGGATCAATAACACACTCCAGTTTGCTCTGAAACAGCATCATCATCGCTAGGAGATGCTGCAGAGCTCTGCAGACGGTTTCAGACACATCTCATTGTTCTCTCTGCCTTTTCAGCGCAACACAGTAACAAGAAGACTGAAGTCTGAGAGTTGAGCTCATAGGACCTCCTTATCGGGGGTTTCAATCCTGGTTCACTCTTGGAGCTGACAGAAGGTTCAGCTGCTGCCACTGATTCTAGTGTAACTGCAGCGTTCAGCGTCTCCAGAGGTCCACAAACAGACGATAAAAGTGATTTTTAGTGTAGAAGAAAGGAGGTAAAGTTTTGTTCTGGGCGGTGAAGTTGCTCCTCAGCACCAGTTATCGGATCACCCTGTGAACACCAAACACAGACCTCTACAGCCACATGTTGGTACCGTCTGAACCAGAGAGGAACTTGTTCTTTTAGCTCAAGACCTTAATTCGTGTCAGCCTTCAGGTGTAACAGTGTGTCATCAGCACATCCCGACAGAAGCCCAACTCAGCGTAAATAGCAGGAGGTCTCGTATAACAAGTCTTGACTGAGCTGAACGCGGTCAGAACTGAAGGAAGAGTCGATGACGTCTCGTGATTCTACGGAGAACGTCATTGAACACGCCGGAAACACAGCTGTCAGTGTTGGAGATAAAGTCGTGTTTTCTGTTCAGCTCAGTGTTACTGACGGAGAATAACAACCAGATGTTCCATCATCTGCTCCGTCCTGTCCTCAGGTCAGGTGTTCTTCAACGAGAACCTCACTGAAGGCTGCACGAGTGTTTGCAGAGGATTTTCGACAGAGCTGTGACCAGACTCTCTGCACCACTCAGCAGGAGGTCATAAATTCATCTGAGCATACATTCGCTGTAAGACTTTAAACTGAGGAATCAGTGCCTTTGGATGCATGCCAGCGCTGCGTCTCCGTCCAACACGAAGGCTGCACAGTGTGACATACATGCTGACAGCTGGACAGAACGCTGCAAGTTTCCTTTTTAAATGACATCTTCAGGCTCAGTGGGCTCAGCATCAGAACCATGGCAGCTCAGATGTCACAACATGCACAGAACACTTCATTAAATGTACGTTTAAAAAGGACGGTTTGGATCCTGAACCAGCCTGTTCACCAGAGCGCCTGATGCCCCGGGTCGTCGTTCTGCACCGTAACACTCAATAATAATCAGGAATATGTGGAAACCAAACGCTTCAAGTGAAAGCTAAAGATAAGATGCTGCTGTTACGCTGGAACGAAAACTCTCCTCACGGGACTGGTTCAGCTCATCAGACACAAGCAGCTGTAACGTGGCAACTGGTTGGGAAGCTGCTGCTGGTTCTGCTGCCTGATGGAGCGAACAAAAGGAAATCTGATTTATATGGAGCCGGTTCACAACATGAGTCAGCTCAGGGGAATCCACACAGAGACGAGCTCGTACAGCCCCGTTATTACAGACAGGAACTCAAAGGTTACTCTGGAAAAACTCCCTTTTACCTCCAGCAGAACTTCTCCATCTGATCGCTACGTCTCACCGAATCCTTCAGATTAAACACATGAACACTAAATGTAAAGAAGCAGCTGGTTAATCGAAACCAACACTGACCTGCTGCAGGAAACAAGAAACGAACAGCAATCGGTCATGTTTACGTCTTGCTTTATGCCACGGCCACTAGGGGGTGCTGTCACTCATCACATTTATGAAAGTGACTAATGCTGCTGTTTCTCCTTTCACATTACAATCCGTACATTCACGGCTAATAGAGCTGCTATCTATTCCAGGCCAGTTACAACCTGTACGGAGGGATTTAGCTTCATAGCTACTGATATAGACTTCCTAATATTTATCCATCCATCCATTTTCTTCTGGTGGCATCAGGCTGAGCTCCTCCTGAGGTGCTCCCAGACCACATGAGATATATAATCCCTCCAGAGCGATGTGGATCTAAACCAAGATCTCCTCCCAGCTTGCTCCCAGGGAAGGTGTCCAGGAGGCATCTGGATCATGAAGAACCGCCTCAGCTGGAGGAGCAGCGACTCTGCTCCGAGGTCCTTTCTGAGGCCCAGTGCGGCCTCGTTCTTTCCGTCGCTATCCGGAGCTATGACCAGACGTCAGGGTTACATCAACCACAGCGGTCCGGTGCGACGCCGTCATTACTGCTGTTGCTGCTCCAACCCGTCTGTCCAGCGTACGCTCCAGTTTCCCGTCAACAAGGTGCCCCAGAAAGTCCTTTGCTTTGGGCACCAACAATCCACCAGCAGAGGACATCAGATGTGGCCAACTCATACTCAGCTGCAAACCTTTCTACTCTTTTCGTACCTGTTTTATGTGCTTGTACCAGCCACACTCTACGGCGGCGCTACGCCTCCCACATGGAAGCAGTTTACTGTTGTGTGACGGGTGTGTAGAGACATGCGTGTTCTGACACGCTGACCGTGTTTCTGGTAAAGGCGGTTACTTAACAAAGTCCTATTTTTTCCAATGAGTCCAATCTAAAGTCCAACATGTCACTGCTTCTATGACACATATTACCGACAGATATTGCATTTAATGCATGCGACATTCAAGTACGCACATTTCACACCTGCACCACGTGCACAGCTCCTGGAACACAGAATATACATGAAGTTTATGGGAAGTCTTTCTTGGTCCATGCAGCGAACCAAACCGAAAAGCAGAAGAAAAATGTTGCTAAGTTGGCGTCAGAAACCTGAAGTAGACCTCTGGATGCGAACCAGTGTTGGTCCACTTGGGGGACACCTGAAGACTGGCAGAGATGTGGTAAAGCTAAAACCAGAACCCTAAACGCTGTAGAGCAGCTCCCACCCATGTGCTACTTCGCCTCAGGTTACATTGTTTTCTTTGAACGTGGTAGTTCAGTGACAGCACTGGTCAGCTGGAGACTGTGCTGGTTTCAGTGGTTCCGTCCGAGTGTCCTCACAGCACCGTGGTCTCGGACTGCATGATGGACTGGGTTCTGGAGTTGCGATGAAACTGGACCATGTGGTCCGAACCGTTCCTGGAGGTGAAGGTGCTGCCGAAGTGGTGGTTTCTGCTCAGGCGGCAGTTCAGACACATGCTGCGCCACTTCCTCTTCAGCTCACCCTGAACCTGCAAAAGAAAGAAAAAACAAACTGTAGCTTTTTTTTCTGAACACTCAGCACAGTTTGGGGATCAACTGATGCCAATATTTAGTAACTGAGGAGGCTGATGACCAGTAGTTGGAGCCACTGCGTATTGGTAGCATGTGACAGAAGGCCATTCGTATCCAGACTCCCTCATCAACAGGGAGGCCTGCAGCTGAACACGTGCAGCAACAACAGCAGCGATGCCGTCAGAGCGCTACACCATTCTGTCTTTTATTTCCCACCAAGGTGGCAGCATCAGTTCATGTGAATTATCCGAGCTTTGTCAGCCAAACAAGGAAACTCGTGAGCTTCCAGAAGATTGAGGTGTTTTTTTTTTTTTTTTACAACTTTAGCAACATTAGCTCTGCTAACTGCAGCTGCTACAGTCTGCTAATCTGTCTCTCTGTGTAAACAAAAGCTTTCTGTGATTGGCTCGTGTGATGCAGCCAATCAGAGAGAGTTGTGGGCGGGACATTAAAGTAGTGATACCGACCCAGTAATCAGCTGGTTCCTACTGCTTCATTAACATACCAACTGGAGGCAGTGATGGAGAAACAAAACTCTCCATGAATCCCAGTTGATGTAACAAGTCAGGAGGAAACGGTGAGTCAGCATATTTGAGATGATCCTGAAGTCAACGAGGCAACAATTTTTAAATTCTCTTTAAGTCAGGTTGGTAATGTAATTCAAAGTATCTTTAAAGAAAAGAAAATCCTAGTTATACAATTCGGACAGCCACAGTTCACTGAAGACCAAAGTGAAATGCAGCTGTCCTTGAATGTTATCAGCTGAGTGCAGACGCCTCCGACAGCTTCATCACGGTTCATGTCAATGTTCTGAACGCACATGGAGAGAACTCACCTCGCTGTTCAGGAAGCAGTACAGAATGGCCACCACCAGACCCTGGACAACACAGCAGCAGAGAACCAGTGAAACCACTCCGACACATCAACTCATTTGAGGACAGCAGAGGTTGGAAGGAGGAGAAACACACCTGAAAGGATCCGAGGGCCAGGTCGAAGAAGATCCGATAATCTTCTGCGATGGATTCGCTGAGAGACACGAAGACGACGTAGTGGATCCCGAACAGAGGGATGAGCAGCAGCGTGGATTTGGCCAGCCTCCTGAGAGACAACGCAGAGCCAGTTGTTAATGGAAGCATCGACCTGGTGTTTGCTGAGATGTTCTGCGGCAGAACGAACGGAACATGGACGCTTCATCAGTCCGTCAGCGATGGACCTCCGGCTCTATGCTCGCCTCACACACTGAACAGCGTGAAATGCAGAATAAGGCGGGCGGGGCGTGTCACCATGGTAACCCGGGGGATGGAGGCGACGCTTCCAGCTCATCGTGAACGGGTCGCGTGTTAACCTGAACCTTTTACAAACTCAGGATAAACACTGAGGAGCCTGAACTAACGTGATATAAACGTAAACAGAACGCCACTTCTGCACACTCTGCGTGTCATTTCTACTTTACGCTCTTCGTTTTGTTTTCGTGACACGCGAGGCGGTTCAGCGCCGGGGCTTCGGATCATTTATCGCTGCTACACAGTGTGCAGTGAAACGCCGCGTCCCGCTAACACGCGACACGGCGTGTTTAGAACTTTAGATGACACCAGGCTGTATAAGCTAACCGAGCTCCCAACAAGTAACTAGTTCTGTCAGAGTGCCGACCAACCAAACACACAGCTCTGGTGCCTTAAGTCAGCCAAACAGGAAGTAAAACCTGGAACGAGTAAAACAGGAGCTTCAGATTCACGTCCTTGACCAGCTGCTGACTCGTACCTTCATCCTCCTCACGTCCAGTCAGCAGTCAGAAAATATGTTTCACTCCAACTGAATTTAATAAAACTACAGTTTAGCTGCTAGAGTGGAGACGGTTCTGTGGGTTCTGATCCAGACAAAAGTAGCTTCAGAGCATTTTGTTCTGGAACCAGGCCTGCACAACAACAACACGCGATCCAAACCTGGCCAGGCTGAATGTGGACCTGACGTATACAGATGTTTGCTGTCAGCAGAGAGCCTCAGATTCAGGCGTCCTGTGACCTGCAGACATGAACACGGGGACGATGAACCCACCGTGTCACACTGGGCTCAGTTCTACACTGAAGCCACCACGCTGACACCGGCACCAACAGGAGGTTCTGTGGAAAGCAAACCAGCCTCATCCAGGCTTTTTTATCGCCTCTGTGCAGCCACCTGACAGCTCAGCTCAGGCTTCGCTGCAGATCAAACACCTGCGACGGCTGAGAGGCTCAGAGGTTTCAGCATCATGAACGCCGTCCCGTCCAATGAGCATCAGCGTCACTCTGATCTCTGCAAACACCTACGGGATGAAAACGTCTCCGATGATTCAGCGGATTCCTTCGTTCTCGCTGAGCAGGTGAAACATTTCCTCAATGACACGAGCCGTCAGCGTGTGGCGGCTTCACTCCACACCATAGACTGTATAGCAGATGGACGTAGCTGCCGTGACGTCACCCGTTGGTTTCGGCACTGAGAACATGAAGCCAGGGTTTTGCTACTTCCTGGTTGACATCTTGGATTTTTGGAGCCAGTGACGCAAAAATCGT